TTGTAATGAAGGTAATATAACAATTTGTATGCAGTAAGCTCCCACAAATAGCAATGTGATAATGGCCACGTTAATTATTTTGGCAGTGTTGTTTGAGGGATAAATTTGCATGTTCGAGGGGAAATCCCTGCCCTTCAAAATAGTACCAATGGGATCTCATGCTCGCATCGAAGCAGAGAGAAAGGACTTCCATTTAACATCTCATTTGAAGGATGACACTTCCAACAATTTTTTTTTCCCCTTTACTCATACGTGGAATGGGGGTGTCGCTGGCTAAGACAGCATTTATTGCCCATCCCTAATTGTTCAGAGGGCAATTATGAGTCAACCACATTGCTGTGGGTCTGGAGTCACATGTAGGCCAGACCAGGTAAGGATGGCAGTTTCCTTCCCTAAAGGGCATTAGTGACCTAGATGGATTTTTCCAACAATCGGCAATGGATTCACGATCATCTTTAGACTCTTAATTCCAGATATTTATTGAATTTAAATTCCACCATCTGCCATGGCGGGATTCAAACCCAGGTCCCCAGAACATTACCTGGGTCTCTGGATTAATAGTCCAGCGATAATACCACTAGGCCATTGCCTCCCCTGTGTCAACCTAGGTTGCATGCATAGGTTCTAAACCCGCAGAGTGGGACTTAATTCCACAGGATTAATGTCGTGGTATGGGTTTTGCAGCTCAATATTACTGTACTTGATGTTAGTTCAGAGCTCAATTGTATGTAGTGGTTTACTGTCACTCAGCAGTAATCATTGTAAACAATGATCAGCTAGAGTCCAGTGTGTAATAAAACTGGTAATGCAGGCAATGATTTGCTAGCGATCATATCATGTGGTAACAACAACACACACTTGCACACCCATAGCACTTTTAATGCAATAAATCACAAGAATGCACTTCACAGGAGATAATATCAAACAATATTGGACATTGGCCACATAAGGAGATGTTGAAATAGATGATGGAAAGCTCTTGGGAAAGATCACCAGATTTGGAAGCAGTTCAGAATTGATGAATGAAGATTAAAAAGATATGATTTTGAGTTTTTCCAGACTGCTGGAGTGGGAGGTAAATACATTGCCCATGTGAGGAATATATTTTCAGTGTAGAAAGAAAGAGTTGCTCCACAGCCCACAAACGTTGTCAGAATTAACTTAGAACCTCTAATAATATGGTTCAAGGTCTGTGTTGCAGCAGTCTTTTCTTTATAATTTGCCTTGACAGCACCAAAAGGTAATTGGAAACCTTCAGGAGTTCAACACGTGAGTCTATCACTGCGAGACAGGAGAAACGACTGTGTCACTGTTCCTGCTACCTGTTTCCCTCCCATCACCTGCAGAATGTGATTCATGCCGCAGTGCACTTCCACACTCTGTCTCCCATGACTTCATCTGAGGGACTAACCCTCAAGTTCAAACAATCATTGTTGACAGGCCATTTGACTGCAGCAAGAACATCTCAATAACCACTTACATTTAACACAGTAAGACATTTTCAAGATGCTCCACAAGAAGGTCATAGTTTGACACTGAACAATGTAAACTTAACATCTCATGGTTGATGTTTAAAGGAGAAAACAGCAATAGAGAGAAGGGGGATAGTATGGGGATAATAGAGGGAAGGAGATGTTTAAAGAGGGAATAGAGTGTCGAACCAAAGTCGGCTGAAGGCATGGGCCTGCCAGTTGTAAACCAAAGAAAACTGGAAACTCAAAATGCCAGAAATGGAAGAGAGTAGATATTTCAGAGAGTTGTAGGGTTGGAGAGATTACAGAGGGAAGGGTGAGACCATGGAGTAATTTGAAGGGAAGTTTAAAGTGGACGTGTTACAGATTGGTTAGTAATATCGGGAATGATGTCCTGGATCTGATATAAATTATTCATTGAATGAAATTTGGTGCATGTTTGCTGACCCAATTACATGTACCACTAAGATAAAGAAAGGACTTACATTTATAAAATACATTCCATGACTCTGGGACATCCCAAAATGCTTTGCAGTGAAATAAATAGTTTTGAAACATAGACCCTGTTATAAAGTGGAAACATAGGACATTACAGCCCAGGAACAGGCCCTTCAGCCCACCATGTCCATGCTGACCATGATCCCATTCTAAGCTAACCCCGTCTGCCTACATGGTCCACGTCTGTCTATTCTCAGCCTGTTCATGTATGTGTCTAAATGCCTCTTAAACGTTGCAGTCGTCTCTGTTTCTACCACCTGGCAGTGCATTCTAGGCACATAAGCCCTCTGTATCTTTTTTAAAAAAAAAAAATTCTCTGCCTCGCGCATCTCCTTTAAACATTCCCCTTCTCACCTGAATCCTATGCCCCCTTGTATTTAACACTTACACCCTGGGAAAAGGACTTCAACTATCCATTCTATTCATGTCTCTCAATTTAATATACTTCTATCAGGTTGCCCCTCAGCTTCCAATGTGTGAGTGACAACAATCCAATTTTGTCCAATCTCTGATACGCTCCATTCCAGGCAACATCTTTCGCACCCTCTTCAAAGTCTCCACATCCTTCCTATAGTGTGGTGACCAGAACTGCACACAATACTCCAAATGTAATCTAACTAAAGTCTTATACAGCTGTAACATAACTTGTCAATGTTTATACCAGTGCTCTGACTGATGAAGGCAAGCATGCTGTACGCCTTCTTTACCACCTCATCCATTTGTGTTGTCACTTTCAGGGAGCTATGGACTTGGACCCCAAGATCTCTCTGTACCCTAAGGATTCTGCCATTTACTGTATACTTTGCTCTTGCATTTGACCTCCTAAAATACATCACCTCACATTTGTCTGGATGAAATTTCATCTCCTATTTCTCTACCCAACTTTTCAACTGATCTATATCCTGCTGTATCCTTTGATACGCTTCCTCACTATCCACGACTCCTCCAATTTTCGTGTCATCTGCAAATTTACTAATCAGATCACCCATAGATCCAAGTCATTTATATACATAAAGCAACTAACAGAGGTCCCATCACTGATACTTGCGGAACACAAGAGACCTCCAGTCAGAAAAGCACCCATCCACAATATCCTCTGTCTTCTATGACAAAGCTAATTTTACATCCAGCTTACCAACTCACTGTTGATCCCATGTGACTTAATCTTCTGGACCAGCCTGCAATGAGGGAAATTGTCAAATGCTTCAGTAAAATCCATGCAGATAACATCCACTGCCTTACCCTCATCAATCATCTTCATCTCGTCCTCAGAAAACTAATCAAATTTGTGAGAGACAAGACCTCCCCTACACAAAACCATGCTGCCTATCCCTAATAAGTCCATTCTTTTCCAAATATGAGTTAATCTTGTTCCTAAGAATCTTCTCCAATAATTTCCCTACTACTGATGTAAGGCTCATCTGCCTATAATTTCCTGAATTATCCATGGGTGGCATGGTGGCTTAGTGGTTGGTGCTGCTGCCTCATGACGCCAGGGACCGGGGTTCGATTCCAGCCTCAGGCAACTGTCTGTGTAGAGTTTCCAAATTCTCCCCTGTCTGTGTGGATTTCATATGGTGCTCTGGTTTCCTGACACAGTCCAAAAATGTACAGGTTGGGTGGATTGGCCATGCTAAATGGCCCTGTAGTGTCCAGGAATGCACAAACTAGGTGGATTAACGGTGGTAAATGCAGGATTACGGGGACAGATTGGGGGGCTGGCCCTGGGTGGGATACTGTTTGGAGATTTGGTGTGGGCTGAATGGCCTCTTTCCGCACTTTATGGAGAATCTATGGTTCTGTTGCCCTTCATAAACAAAGGAACAGCATTGGCTATTTTCCACTCTTCTGGGACGTTGCCCATGACTAAAGAGGAGACAAAGATCTCTGTCAAGACTCCAGCAATCTCTCCGCTTGCTTCCCTTCTTATGTTGGGACCTTAGGGATTTACCCACCTTAATGTTTTTCAAGACAGCCAGCACCACCACCCTCTAAAAACGACAAGCCCTAGAATATCAACATACCCCACCCTAATCTTATCACCATCCATTTCCTTCTCCTTGGTGAATTAAGGTCCTCACCCACTTCTTCTGGCTCCATGCATAAATTCCCTCCTTTGTCCTTTGCAAGGGAAAGGAAGAATTCACACTAACCCAGCCTAATTACATTACTTGTCGTGTTGAAAACTCTCTCCAGAATAGAAACTTCACCAGAGTAGCCCTCAAGAATTTAACCCTGGCCAAGACTGTGTTACTGATCACTCAGTTTGCTGCTAAACAGGACTTTGCTCATACACCTTTCGGAACTGTTTGCACCAAGGGAGTTGTACCATGGAACGCACATCCAGGGGTTCCTGGCAGATTCCAACTGCACAAAGCGAATTAGAAAGAAGGCATAGGAAGATTCAATGAGATGTTAAGCTGGGTGCCTGGTTAGATGGGGCATCAACAGCTGCTGGGAAGGAGGTGACTCTTCCAGATGAGCAGCATCAAATGGACTACCGATCTTCGTTATCCCAGCCCATTTCCTGATGTGTAACCCATAAGTAGTTCTGCAGTTCCGTGAAATTTGTGACAATGAAATAATGCTGCCTGATAGTGGCAAAGGATTGAGGGTGTATTTAACTTCTCTTCCGATGTTGCAATCTCTAAAAGCCAATAATACTCACTTTCCAATTATTAAGCGTGAGGAAAAATAACATAAGTTGGAAAGCAATGTCTTCGACACAGTCAGTTAAAATTTTAGACAGCAGAAACAGGCCGCGTTGATGTTTAATCATTCACAAAAGTCTGCTGTTGCCTTACTGTATCCCTTGCTGTCAACATATCCTTCTATTCCTTTCTCCTTTGCACTAACTAGATTCCCCTGAAATACATCCGTACCACCTGCCTCCCTGTGCAGTAACGAGTTTCATAAAAGGTTGAACAGATTATTTCTCTGGACTAATTTGATTGCTAACCTTGAAAGGAGCTATTTTCCCAATGGAGGTGATTAGTTGGTGCTTCAGCCTTCTGTTGTATTTTATTCCAGGTTACAGAGAAGGCTTTCTGTGGAAACGGGGACGCGACAATGGTCAGTTCTTGAGCAGGAAGTTCATATTATCAGAACGAGAAGGTGTGCTGAAATATTTCAACAAACACGATGTAAGTAGACAGCTCCTCACCTGTGCTAAAGTTCCTTGTCTGCCCACAAATATGGCAGAACAATCTGATTTAAGTGTTTGTAAGTTTAAAAATAACAGTTTTGAAATGGTTTAGTACACAATTGGCAGCAGGAATCGACAGTTCTGGAAGTAAATAATTTCTCCAGTAACTTTCAGAATCCATGAACATTATGACCATTGCCATGCATCTATTTCAGGCTCACATCTGCTCTGAGCACAGGCTCGTTCTCTCAGGTTGACCCAAGTATCTTTTTCCTATATTTATGGTAAGTGGGTGTCTCCACTTGTCCTTGGGAAGTGGGGGGTTCAGCTTTTTCAGTCACGGTGGTCCAACTGTACTATCATTTTCTGTAGCAGTTTCAGTGAAACCGAAGGACTTGCTCGGACATTTCAGTGGGCCATAAAGAGTTGACCACATTGCTGTGTGTCTGGAGTCACATATTAGACAGAGTAAAATTGCTTGATTTCCTTCGCTGCATGACATTGGTAAACTCAATGGGTCTTTGCATCAATCCATTAGTTACATATCACTGTTACTATTGCAAGCAGTTTAATTCCAGATGACTTCATTTACCAATATAAAATCGCCCAGCTGTTATACTGAGATTTGAACGTGCATTTCCAGATTATCAGACCTCTGGATTGCTACTGCACTGAAATAATGACAGTACTGTCAGAAGGGAGCAATTGGATTCGGTGCTGCTGGAAAGGGTACAGTAGGAATTGGGGCAGGTACTGAGGGAGGAAAGGGGTTGGAGTCCGTTTTCTCCTCACAATGCCCCTATTCCATGTTCTTTTTTGTTTTGTCCCTGCTACCATGCTTCCTAACATGAGATACACCTTTTCATTGCCACAAGGTTCATGCCAATCCTGTTGTAGGACTGGCTATAAAGAGACATGTGAGTGGTCTAAAATGACTTGCTTTCTCGAGTCCAATTCATTCCCACCGTTGATCGATGATGACTGTGTAGAACTGTGGGCAAAAGCCACATCCTCCACTTTGTAGCACAGCCCAGGGCATATCAGCTTGTACTTTTGCAGCCACACATACAGCCCACATAAAGTCACAACCAGCAGTTCTTTCCGCTCACTCCCTCCGTGCAATATCATGATAACTGAAGGTTATCTTCATCATCCTGGTTTCTGTACATGAGGAAATTCTTGAGACAATGTTTTATTCAATTCAAGCTGTACACATGAAATGAGGAAATCTGTATGTCATCACAAAATAGAGTGTCATTGGCAGGGTCTAAGAAACTGAGGGATTCACATTATTTTACAACCAGAATACTAAGCTCAGGTTCCTCATGAGGTTCGTAAAGGTTCAAAAGCACAGGAGAATCTATTCTTTGCGTTGATTGGCAAAATGATTCTGTAACTGAACCTAACCAATTGAGAGGAAAAGGTTAGAAGGAAAGACGACCATTTGTCTGTGTTGGGGTAACCCGATTAGAGAGGTTATTCAGGTCTAGCATTTAAATGTGCTGGATTATTATCAACAGATCTCTAACAGAGTAGTGGCTTCCTCCTGATGTATTTCATACAGAGACAGTAGAGAGCAATTTGTGAGAAGACTGTTGCAGGTGCCATTTTTAAAATAGTTGATTGTTTTAAGCTAAGAGAGATGAAAACCACAAGCTATGGCAATAAGTAGTCTGTTTTTGTACTGTCCCTCACAACCTGTTGTAACAGCTTATTTGGAAATCAACCCTAAATAACCCTGCCTGTATCTATGAGACTTGGAAGCCATCCAAACACTTGCAAATGTTGCTGCCTGAAGCACCCAGGACCAGTGAAAGAAAGTAGCACTCGATTAGTTATTGCCATTCGTTACCATTCCTTGCCACTCTCCAATTATCAACAGTGGTGACATTAGGTTTGAAAAATCACTGAAAGCGTTGACGGCTGATGGGCATGGATCCTGAACATAATTTAGTTGGATTTGCCTCTCTACCCTTCTGTTCCCAACGCACACTTTTTCACCCAACCTGGCAAGGCAGAGGATCGAGTAAGAAAGCAGTTCAGAAAACAAAAGAAAGATCCTTTCCTAACCCCTAATGACATCTCAAAGTGCCTTTCAGCTGATGAAGTACCTTTTGAAGAGTCGTGATTGATTTATCGTCACGTGTACCGAAATACAGTGAAAAGCTTTGTTTGCGAGCGGTACAGGCAGATCACAGCAAGCGAAGGATGTACAGATCAAAAAGACTTGGATGCATACAGGTTACGTTGCAGGTTACATTATTTGAGGCTAGAGTCCATTCAACAGTCTGATAACAGCTGGAGAGAAGCTATTCCTGAACCTGTTTGTGCGTGTGTTCAGGCTTCTGTATTTTCTGCCTGACGGAAGAGGTTGTAGGAGATCATTACCAGGGTGCGACGGGTCTTTGATGATGTTGGCCGCCTTTCCGCTGGAGAGGCCATGTAAATAGAGTCCATGGATGGTTGGCTTTTATGATGGTCTGGGCTGTGCACACCACCTTCTGTAGTTTCTTACATTCCCAGGCAGAACAGTTGCCACACCAGGCCATTGTGTACCCGGACAATGTGCTTTCAATGGTGCACCTATAGAAGTTGGTGAGGGACCTGATGGACATGCCAAATTTCCTGAGCCACCTGAGGAAGGAGAGGCATTGTTGTGCCTTCTTGACTGTCGCATTTATGTCCAGGACAGGTCATCGGTTATCAGCACTCCGAGGAACTTGATGCTCCTCGCTGCCTCAGCCTCAGGTCCATTGATGTAGATGGGGGCGTGTTCTCCTCCTTTCTTTCTGAAGTCGATGATCGATTCTTTAGTTTTGCCAACGTTGAGAGACAAATTATTTTCATTGCACCACGTCACCAAGCCCTCTGTCTCCCTTCTGTATTTTGACTCGTTGTTAGATATCCATCCCACTACGGTGGTGTCGTCAGCGAACTGTACATGATGTTCTTTCGGAATTTGATAACACAGTTGTAGGTAGATGGTGTTTGTTTGGAATTTGGTAACACAGTTGTAGGTAGATGGTGTTTGTTTGGAATTTGGTAACACAGTTG